CAGACTGCGTGAGCACGCAGCGTACGCTACGCACTGAGCCTGCTTCAGCAAACAGCGTCTGCGTCGTGGGCTGCTATGCAATTCGATTTGAAGACTGCGCATCGGAGCAGACGATCATCAAATAAAGTATATATTAGGTGGATCCGAAAGTTTTGTCAGTTGTACGCCGTGCAGTCTGACCCAATCTGAAATTCTTTCAAAAGTATTGCATGCTTTTCTGGGTGATTTGATAACAATAATCATTATAGAATAGACCGAATAATTCAAATTCGATTAATCGTCTAAATGTTCTTCCTCAAAAAGTTGTGCGAAATGAATGCTGCATGGATTCTCCTTAAGAACATGAAGCGGTTTTAGCATAAAGATGTGGTAATGGCTGATGCTATAAGGATCGCGCTCATAAGGAAAAAAGGTACTTTTCCGTTATCCGGACCCAATTTTTCAAAAGGCTCTCATGAAACAAGTTTTTTAGTCGAGAACATTTTCTTATAGATTCCACGAGGACTGCCTCCCTGCCACGTGTCATAAATATTTTGACATGTTTTGGTCTATTTTTACATGTTTTTTCGAAATCAATTCCAGTGAGGTAAAAAGGCATTTGTGATCAACCAAAAGCTGATTAATTATTTCCTATAAGAGCAGACAATCTAGAGCTTATATCAGAACATCTTCATCGTTTTCAGCAATGATTTAGCATTGTTCTTCTTTTCAAACAATATTCGCTGTGCGAATTTAGCCAGACAAGACCATAAATTACGGCATTAAGTTTCTCGCTATTGCTTGTTTTGTCACTTAGATAATAGAACCCTAACCCATATCTCTATTTTGTGCAAGTCTCATCTGTTTATTAACAACAGAATGACGTTATTATGATAACAACGTTCATTTTTGATACTGTTCAATAAAATGGGTTCACTATAGACTAAAAAACAATTGAATTTACGTTGTAGGTAAGGAAACTCAAACTCTTGATCATACCTGTTAAACATGTAAATGACATGTCAAATTTTTCTGACGCGTGGCAGGAAGGTTGACACTCCCTCCTGTGAAGTTGGGACCAGATATGGTATGAGGAAAGAAGCAATATTTTTCTTTGAAGAAATGGGTCCGGATAACGGAAAAGTACCGGAAAAAATAAGTAAAGTAACAGATCTGAGAGCAAGAGATCCGGAGTTGATACATGTGGGAAATTCTTTATAAGGATCTTAGAACTCTCATATTAAAAACATACCTCTGGTAAATATGAGACTAGGGTACCTGATGTACAAATTCAGCCTTTAGTAGCCCATGTGAATAAATCCACGAAATTGAGTTGTTTCTTGAGGTACCATAACTCAATAGAGGGTGCATGTTTGAAAAAAAAAAACAAAGCCTTCAGAGCACCCTTCCGCGACGCAGCGCATGCGCTCATGTCGTGGTTTTCCAATACTGCAGTAGACAATCGGTTTAAAAAGGCCATCTTCCGCGGTGGCCTCCCACCGTTATGGACGCAGAAATTTTGCTAGAGGGAGGCTCAAAGATGCAAAAATGGCAGTAAAGTAGGCACTTACCCAAAAAATTTTCCGAAAGGCTCTTAGAATTCGCAAGCTTGCCATTTTGACTCCACAAGAAAGCAAATTAGGCCACGATCTCTAACAATTTCTTTTACAAAACCATTTCATTTCAACTTCAAGTTACACAACTATTTTGAATATTCATAAATGTCATACTTTGAAAAATTTAGACCTTTTTGTCAGCCGTTGCTTTGTACATGCAGTCACTGCGAACAAGAAACTTTCCAATTTCTCGAGCTTAGCAACCCTTCATTTCTTTAACCGTGTACAATTCCCATGAAAATACAAGCTCTTTCAATTTTTGGTAGACCCTCTATCACTCTGAATTTCTTTGGATGTCAAATGGGAAAAGAATTTTCCATACACATCGAGCAAGTTACGCGTGCTCTTTGCGATTACAACCTCCTACTCTAGATGACAATAGCGATTACCGAAAAATTGAAAGGAGCTTTCTTTCAAAACCTAAAAAAATCATATCAAAATGTTTTCATCCTTTGGGGGTAGTCTGGAGAGACAAACTACAAGGGACGTATCAGTATTGTTCACTTTTCTGCTCGATATACCACATCCAATAGGACCGCGACCATAATTTTCCTGAAATATACAGTCACTTGGACCATTCTTAAAGGTTACATTTAAAGGCAGCGTCCAGGCAGATCTGGACCTATGGGGCTTTCACGTGGAAAGTACTTTTGGGGCCCTAACTAAGGCACTACCCAAGCGGCAGCTCAGGAAGTGCTGTAATGGCTGAGATATTCCCCTCGAAACTGGACCCCGCGACCGTGTTTCGCATGGGTTCATGGCGCAAAGCGTGGATCCTGGCGCGAAACTGCCATGAATCCAAGCGATTACGTTCGCGGGGGCCAGTTGCGAGGGGAATATCTCAGCCATTACAGCACTTCCTGAGCTGCCGCTTGGGCAGTGCCTTAATTAGGACCCCACAAGTGCTTTCCACGTAAAAGCCCCATAGGTCCAGATCTGCCTGGACGCTGCCTTTAATTAGCAAAAATGTTTCAAAATAAGAGTGGGATGTAGGATATTCGTGATTTGATTAAAAATGAACACATATTCTAAATATATACCAGCACAATTCATTAGACCCTTATACAGCCTATGTCCGCCTTCTAAACTCAGATCCGTTACTCATTGTTGACAGAAGAAAAATTCTACTTTTTTGCTGCGTTGTGCTTGTTTAGGAAAACAGTAACAACACAAATTCATTCTAGTACATATCTGAATTGTGAGTACTTTTGCTAAACAATGCCATTTTGGCGGTTTGTTGCAAAGGGAAATAGTTTTGGAATTCAATCGTTCTTTCCCGATGATATTCGCATGCTTGCAAAATTTCCTGAGTTTCCTTCTAGAAACAAATAACAAATATGTTTCGGGTACTTGTGTGAGAAACGACTTGTTTTACGAAAAACTTCTTTGCAACTCAAGATTTTCGAAAGGTGATAGGTCCAAACCAACGTTTCTCTTGCTTTGTGTTGTGTAGAAGAGCGAAAGTAAGAATGCGGTGCTATTTCTGCAGCGGTTTAGCTAATGGTGGTTTTGCTAAATATCCAATAGCATTGAGTAACAATGGTATGTGCAGGAATGTGGTCTTGTGACATACGCAACAGACAGCTCTTGTGGGAAAGCCTCAAATTACAAATGTAACAATAATGTTTGCAAGAATGTGGCCTTGCTAACACAGCGGGAATATGGAGTTGATGTAGAAGTAGGCACAGGGAAAGGTTCTACAGAGATAGATAGGTATGGGACTTTCATCATAGTGTTTTGACAGGGCCAGGCGGAACAGGGTAAGCTAGTTTGTACCATATAATTAGCGGTTCGCTGCCGTACCATTCTTAGCTCGACGAACAGTAAATGGTGGCCACCAAGTTCTCTTTACTTACAAGGAAAAAATTTTCACTCGAAGTAGATCCCGATGAGGTTCATATCAGTGGAAGGATTTTTAAACGCTGATTTCAAATATTTTCATATGTTTATCGGTTTACTGGACAATGTTAGCATTTTTCCGCTTCCAAAATGCATAGTCGGATGCTGTCAGAATGACCTAAAGTGTAGTCAATGTTTTTTTTGCTTCAAACTACAGGCGCGAGTGGCTGAGATGTATACTTCTATCCTTGAAGCTACTTTGTTGCTTTAGTTTTGCAATAAGCAGCCATATTCGGTCATTTGAGGCTAGTAAATGCCTGCAAGTTCAATGAATTGATAAGCAGAATTAAGAGGGCATATGACTTATGACCTTGCTGGGTAGGCCACTTCGAGTCAAATACGTTCCCCTTGTTTAGATTGCTGTCAAAAAATGAACGAGTAATTTCCAGTCAACGCATGGAATTATTCAAGGACAATACTGTAATCATCTAAATTTCACAAACATTTAAATTCGACCTCTGCAAAAAAATGAATGCTTGGCAATGGCAGCAAAGCTGACTAGTAAATGGTCAGAGGTACAAGTAGCACACCAGTGGCCGTATTCAACTAACCCTGGAGGGTTAGTTTAACCCTGGAAAGCGTTTAGCCATATTCATGAAACAAAGGGTAGGCTAGAGATGTATTATAAAAACTAGTGTTAGAAGCTTATTCGTTGACTATACTACTATAACAGTGAAAGAATAGAAGCATAAAGTGAATTTAGCCCGTACTTAGGCATTCTGTGATGTGAGTTTGCACAGCGCACGCGTAACTGACGCCTTAACCCTCCATAGTTAGTTTAACCATCAGGGTTGATGAATACGGCTACGGGTCCGTTGATCGATACGGGTAGATCGCGTTCCGCGGTAAACCCTAGCCTATGGTTGATGAATACGGCCAATGAACCCTGAGGGTTAAACTAACCCTGGAGAGTAAGCTTAACCCTCAGGGTTCGTTGATGAATACGGCCACAGGATGTGTGACATAAGATGTGACTGCAAATCTGCCTTCCTTGTTTGCAATACGCGTCTGTGGACGAATGAGCAGTTTTACTGCAGAGATATCATGCATATACATTGCGACATTAGACACATGTTTTGGCACATTATTGACCAAGAATCTGTACAGGGCTTATCAAATAAAGTGTCGCAACCCCAGCATGTCCATTCCCGCGCTGGGCTGTTCTCTTCCGCGAACATGCTCTCTGAGTACTTCCCAGGGCGAGCGTGGGAAAGGCGGAGCCTCAGTTGATTGGAAGTGATTGAGGAGCGTGTTCCGGGAAAGAAACGCAGAGTCCAGCGTGGGAGTGGAGATGCTGGGGCAAGCGACAATTCATTTGATAAGCCCTGTATGTCCTTGCACTTGCTTGTCCCATTTCTTTGAATAACATGGCTCGTAAGTCCACAATGGCATTTAGCAGATAAGAAAGACAAATTTAGAGTCAACGTTCTACGCTGTATCCAATGCATGCAGCATGTTTAGATCGGCCACTTCGCTTTTGAGCATTTCCTTCTGAGGCAAGTGCGGTCATTGAAAGTGGAGGTAATTGGAGAGTAAGATATGCAAGTGATACTGTACCTTCACTTCTTCGACAAATTTTTCACCAATTTGTTCTGCAGCAGCAACATCATCCTTCGTTCTGTGACAAAAACTTTACGATCAAAGAGGAGGAAACGAAAGGTCTGTACATCTGTACAGCACTTACTGTGCAACATAAACAAAGCATTGTTTGCAGTCTGAGCTGGCTTTCAAAATTTCTTCGCAGGTGGAGTTTATGTCTGAGCGATTCATGAATACATCGTATAGTGCTCGTACTGTTTCAATTTGAGCTTTTTCCTCCAACAGACAGTCGCGCTAAAAATTTGTGTACTCCTACTGTAATGAAACCCGAGCAAGTAATACTCCATTTTTACTAAATATGTAACATTCGTATGCTAACCTCGTATCCAACCTCTCGGAGAGGGCCGGTCAAATAGATCTGGTACGTTATAAATGGATTACCAGGACATTCAAAAGCTAAGAGTGCTCTAGGCGCAGTTGAAAAGACCTAAATGTATGGTGATGCCTACGGATAAGTACATGAGTTTCAAACTTACTACAGCAGCGAGGTAGCAGTAAAGCATGTTCACACGATCTTGTTGCTTCAATCACTACGTCGAACTTTTATAGTGGTTGTGCCTTTTTCATTTCATTTAGGGCAGCTTGAGTGTACAGATTTCATTGTAAGCTATTTTAGTTTCTATCAACATCACGTTTCCATTAGTTCTAATATTTACAACTTTTTACTTGTTTCTAATGCAGTTCTCATACTTTGCAATAAAATACGAGCTCAAAAACCTTTGCAATGAAATACGAGCTTAAAAACACTCACTACCCCACTGCCTTGTTAGACATTTTTCTCTAAATTCCAGAAATTGTTAGTCCTTTTCAAATCTCACCTCTAATTTTAGTAAGAAGTGACTTCTCATGTCCTTATTATTGACACAGTAAAGTTCATTTTGGTCAATTCATAAAAGCATAACTTCTTTTACCTTATTCTATCTGCTTGACATTGTTGGGAAGGCGGGGAAGAACTGCTTTTCAATGGCAGGTTGATCCTTTAATAAAATGCGGATTGCATGGAAAGAAATAAACTATTTATAGGAGTTCTACACCTGCACGCCCAAGTCCCGTAACATGCGATCGAAAGCGAAGCGTTCAAAAGAAGTTAATGCGACGTGAATGCGAAAAGTTTATGCTGTTTCACGTCTCTGAGCAGACTTATGATAATCAATACGTTCTGCTTTTATCTGTTCTCCCAGAAGTCATGATTATGCTTAAAAACGCTTGTTTAACGCATGTCTCTTGTCAAAACTCTAGATCACATTACCTATGCTGCTAGTCGTGTTGAATTTTGCGTCAACTTTTCGCACGCTTGTTCTTCCGCTTCTGCCTATATATGCTATGTGTGCTTAGTAGGAAGTGCTAACTCTCACGAACACAAATGCACCGTTTTCTTCTTTCTAGCGAGCAGCTCAGCTGCCTCACAAAACGTTCGCTGTGTAGCACAATTCTCTTAGGCAGTGCGCAGAACAGTGGAGAGCTCTTGGGTGCTTAATCCTTCGCCGAATTTGGGATGGACAATTTTAGAAAACCTCTGCGCACGTAGTGAAATTAGATATCATGTAAAGCTGAATGTCTGTTTGTCTGTCTGTCTGTATGTATGTATTTATGTGTGTTCCGAACAGAAAATTTTGTTTCTGAACCGATCCGGACCAAACTTTGCACATATACACTTCGGGGCCGGGCGGGTGTCATAGGCTACTTTTCGTCACCGATCGATATCGATTTTATCGATTTTTATCGATTTTTTGTAAAGTTTGACCTGCGGGGCTGGGAGTTTGCACAGGGGGTAATCGAGCATGCTGATTGTGAATACAACATTAGTTTTAGAAATTACGCGCTACTTTTATCGATTTTATGGATATTTGCGATGTTTGAGCTGGCTGGGAGGGCACAGGGGGATAAGTGAGCACGCTGATCACGAATATGATAATCGTTTGTGAGAATACCCAGTACTTTCAGAATTTCTTGCAAACTTCGAACTAAAACGACGCGAGTTGACACGGGGTAAGTGGGCATGTTGGAAGTAGAAGTGATCAACATTCTCATTTGTCAACCTTCAACAAAATATCCGTTTTCTCGTCATCAGGACATTAGTCAGGAGATAGCTAATCTTTGCCTTGTGGCCATATTCGAATATCATATTCTGGTGGATGAATACCAACTGGTGCAAGCAATTTGCGAGGCAAAGTCCAAAAGAGAACCCTTGCGCCACGTCCACTGAACAGTGATCCGACGCCAGCTAAGGAGAAATAAAAACAAATTTCCGAGTTAATGACGATTTCAAAGTGTACTCCCCCATAAAAGGCAGTCGCGCCCTTAAAGCTGAACATGCCGGAAGAGCCGACAGCGATTTCTTCAGGCATACGAAAAGGACATGGAAGCTAAAGTAGCCAGAATTGTCAAATTGATAATGACGACGTCAGACCGATACAGCCAATCAGCGCGACGCGTTGCGAAGCGGACAAGTGAATTCTGTCAAAAAGTTGAAATACAAAAGTAAATTGATCGGAAACCTAATCAAGACACTACAGTGTTTTCAAGCGGCGAATTATCGACTAGAACGGGATGAGGACCATGATCAGATAGGTACAACACACCTCGCATTCAATACTTTTTGGCAATTGCAATTCTGCGACTGCAGAAAGTACTAACAAAAGCTGCTAACTTCAGGTCGTGAGAACGTCCTCATTCTTGCGTTCACCGGGTGATCCGAACACGATGTTCAAGGTATCTGCGCACGCTTGTTTCCCTTATCGTATGTCGGAATTTGGGGTAAGTAGGCGCAAGGCGTCGCGCAGCGTCGGCGTCTCTCTGGCATTAGCACTACTTAAGTATAGAATTTGCTATTTAGACAAGCCGAGAAGTCAACAAAAATAAAAGCAGTCTACGAAATAAGGCGCAGAAGCGAACTTGAACACAGTTGAATAAAAACAAGCGCAAACTATAATAGATTATGAGCAAAATGACCATAGACAAAATGCAGCACAGTCTTTTCTGGGAGAATTGTCGAATTGTCGAAGACGGCGAGGTCAGAGCTGGAACAAATGAATACACAACTCACTTCGTACACAGCTTTTTTGGCAGAAACCGTGAGTCTGCAAATGCAAGTAATAACAAAAGGTGCTATCTTCCAAAATTACGAGAGTTCTCTTTTGCGCTCATATGTTCAGAGCGACCGTCGGGCGCTCAGGAGATTTGCGCACGTTTATATCCCATACCGTATGTCGGAACGCGGGAAGCACGCAGCCGTTTTTTACAGCGGAGGAGCTGACAGAACATCGAAAGGTGTCGCACCGCGTTCCGCGTCTCTCTAGCGAATACTTCCTGGCAAAAGCCAGATGATACGTCCGGAAATATACCTTGCGGAGCAGGCGAGTGAACTCTGTTAGAAAGTTAAAATACAGAAGTAAACTGATCAGAAACCTAATTCAAGACATTTATATTTTTTTCAAACGTAGAGTCATCGACTAGAATGAGATGAGGCCATGATCAGATAGACACAACTCACCTCGCACTTTTCCTTTACAAAAATCTCACAAACAAAAATACAGAAAAAATTGGATGGGTTCAGATGGCGTTAATTTAGGCGAGTGCAATTGATCGCACTTAGGAAAGTCTCTGAGCAATGAATTTGAACTAAGAACCCCGGCTGCTCATTACTGAACGCTCTGTTTATCAACTTACCCTGCTTTTCAAGAGTTGGGTTCAGCCCCGCAGCTAGAACAATAGATGCAGCGTGAACTCCACTCATAAGAAGTTGCCATGTGAACCAGAGCCGACATGAGTAAATTTTCTGGGGTAACATTAATGTCTGCATTTCAGGTGTACTCAGCTACGGAAGCCATTTGCGCCCGCAAAGTTGGATATGCCGCAACCTTGCCAGCATGGTCTTTAGGTGTTCACGAAAAGGAGTTGAAGTTCGAAATAGCCAAAAGCTCTTAAAGGCAGCGTCCAGGCAAATCTGGACTATGGGGCTCTCAGATGGATATTTTGAGGCCCTAACTAAACCGCTGCCCAACCGGCAGCTCAGGCATTAACGGCTAAGAAATTCCCTCGAAACTGGACCCCGGGATCGTATTTCGTATGAATTCATGGCGCAACCCATCAATTTCGCGCGAGGACCCATGGGCTGCGCCATGAATCCATGCGAAATACGATCCCGGGGTTCAGTTTCGAGGCGAATATCTCAGCCGTTAAAGCACTACCTGAGCTGCCGCTTGGGCAGTGGCTTAGTTAAGGCCCAAAATTACGAACCACGTGAGAGCCCCACACGTTCAGATTTGCCTGAATGTAGCCTTTAAGCTAACAAGATGAACACTGCGGGAGAAGGGAGCAGGTCAATTATAAACAAAATTCTATTGCCTAACTATTGCCTACACTTGAAAAACTAAAGTTGTTTTTTCCATCTATCTTGATAAGGTTGTTAATCATTCTCGCACGTAGGGAGATACATCTTTAGGTTATGGATAGCTCTCGTCAACGTAGTTAGTACTCAAATCTTAAGGACTCCGGCATGCTTCAAGTGATCTGGCTATTCAACAAATGTCCTCGAATGCACACTTGCAGACCTTGATGGCAAAATGTGACCTTAATCAAATGCCCTATCTTCTAAACATAGAGAACGCGCTTGCGATGAATTATAAACTAGAGTATTGGTGTGAGATAATTCTGCGCATAACCCATTGTTTACAATCTTACACTCGAAGGCTTACATACGATGCGATTAGCACAATCCCGCATTGTGCTACAGGCATACCCGGTTAATAATCATCGTATCCTACCTTACCATGTTTCCTGGTTTCATTTCTATATGTCAGTCCTGCCCTACTGTCTTCCCTTCTCCATAAAAGAAACAGTTGATATCATGTATGTTCGAAATAAAAAATTTTATTTCTAAACCAATCTGGACCGTACTTTGTACAGATGCACGTGAGAGCTTAAGAGTGTCTTATACTACTTTTCATTTTTGATCGATCTCGATTTCATCAACTTTAACAAACTTCGCGCTACGGGCTGGAAGTTGGGACAGGGGGGGGACAGAGGAAAGGTCGTACAGAGATAGGGATAGGACCTTTATTATAGTTATTGATCCGGGCGGAGCCGGGTAAGCCAGCTGGTGATTGATAATTTCTCTGTGATAAATACGAAATGAAGTATGCTATTTAAATAAAAAACTTTAAGGTACGGCCCAGCAAACTTTTCCAACTTAACATTATGCTAACAATGTGTATGAAAGAATGGAAGCGCACAATCAAAATTGTATCAAGCCATGTTTCGTCACATGATCATTGTGCACAAAGTTCTGAAAAAATGAAAATGTAGTATGAAAATTATCAGGTAAATAAAGTAGGACGCTGCTAAGCCAAAATTTGGAAAGTTTGTAAACTGTAGGTCTTTCTCATCAGATTAAGACCATGTGTATGCCCATCGGCTTAAGAGAGGTGCAAAATTGAAAGAATTTTTTCTTGAAAGCAATAGCAGACCAATATGAACGTATTTACTAAAATTGTCAGAAAAA